AGTTTACTAAATAATATGTAAAAAAATTTTTAACAAATTGTTATTAGTTTGAATTGTAAAAGTTATGATTTTTAACTTTTTTACCTAAATCTATAAAAAAATTTAAAATACTTTTGTAAATCTAAATAAATAATATATATTTATATAAAATTTCAAAATCGATTAATATTACTATGAAATACAAATAATTCAAAATACTTAAATTTATAATTTTATAATTAGTCTATAACTCAGTTTCAGTTATTTATTTATTATTATAATAATTTATATTATATTAATATATTATAATATAATATATATTATAATATATATTATATTATAATATATTATAATAATAATATATATAATAATATATAATTATATATATAATACTTTATTTATATATGTTTCTTAAATATTCTTATTTATATATTTTTTAAATAGATGTTAGGCCAGCAAAAAAAGATAATCAATCTAGTGGAGGTGCAGGAAAACAATTAGGAGGACCTAATAATCAATTTAATTCTGGCAATAATCATTTTAATGCTGGAAATGATTCTTTTAATAATGGAAATCAGGGTTATGGAGGAAATTCAAATTTTAATGCAAACCAAAATTTTAGTTGTGATCCACAATTGAATGACAATCAAAAAGGTAATAATATGCAAATTCGAGGAGGAAATGATCAATTTGCAGATGGAAATCAGAATAGAGATAATATGAATGATCAATTTGGAAATCAAAATCGAAATAATGGGAATGAACAATTTAACAATGTAATGCAATCTAAAGGAAATAATAATTTTAATCCAAATAATCCAAATAGAGGTGGTACTGATCAATTTAATCAAAGCAGAGGTGGTAATCAATTTGGACCAGCTGGAAATCAAAATAGACCTAGTGGAAATCAAAACCGTAATACAAATAATCAGAATCAAAGTAGTGGGGGAGGTATGAATAATGGAGGGAGTGGTCGACCAAGAGGTACCAGAGGTGGAAAAAATCGAAATAAAAATAGAGATAATTCAGGTGGAAATAACTTCAGAGATCGTAGCCCTATTAATAGAGGCCCACGTTTAGATGATAAAAGTGGTAGAGATTGGGATCATAAACAAGGGGATAGATTAAGAGGCAATAATTTTAATAGAGATTCATTCAATGACAGCAATAATCGTTATGAAGATTTTAAAAACTCTACTTCTAGAGATATGAATATGAGTTTTAAGTAAGTTAAAATATTTTTAAAAATTTTTTTTTACATTAATATTATATTTTTATTTATTAAATTAATATTTTTGTTTTATATCTTTTTAATACAGTAATACAAGTACATCAAATGAATATTCAAATGTATCAACTGAAAAAAATGATTGTGAAATCATTGTTGTTAACAAAGTTTTAACGTAAGTTATAAGTACTAAAATAAAATTAAATTATTTTAGTTTTTTTTTTTATTAACGTGATTTAAAATTTATTTTTTCAAATAGAGAATATGCTGAAAGTATTGAAATGAGGTTAAAAAAAATTGGATTAACAGTTGATTTATTATTTCCAAATGAAGACGTCCTCTTAAGTAGAGTTCTAGGAAATATTGCAAGTCGTGGATGTTTATATGCAGTTGTAGTGACACCTATTAATCAAGAACATCATTCCTTAACTTTAAATATTCTTCATGGTTTACCTCAAGGTAAAGATTTTTAATAATATTATTAAAATTTTCCTGAATTATATTAATATAACTTCATTTTTCTTATAGAACATAGAAATATGTTGGTTGAAGATGCTATTAATTTAATATCGCGCGATTTTGCTAATTACAAAGCTGGTGGACGATCGGTTCCATTGAATACACCTTTTGCAAACGAACGACATCCTGATGCTATTCAAGTTCTTTTAAATATGCTGGCTGATAATCATCAATTAACAGTATTACAATATGATCGAGTTATAAAATATCTCGAAATTAAACGTGAAGAACAAGTGCAAGTTGAATTAGGAGATGTAAAAGATTTACCAACTACAACAACTACGATAACAGTCAGTGATCCAAAACAAGCAGAATTACAATCTAGGATACTTAATATTTTAAACAGTAATAAAACAACTTCATCTGCACCAGCACCAAGTCCAGTACCAGCTCCAACTTCAACACCAGCACCCGTTCCACCAGCTACTTGGGGAACAGGTAAAATTTATGAAAGTTTATTATTTAGATTTAAACAAAATGTACATAATATTAAAGATTTAATATTAGTAATTTTATATTAAATTTCTATCATTATAATATTTTTTATAAATTATATGCATTTAATATGCATTTTATAAAAGTATAGATAAGTTTATAAAATCAATCATCAGTTTTCATTCCAGTAATTTTAAAAAATTATTATATTATTAACAAAAATTCCTTTGGTAAGAAATTAAAAAAATATATGTATTATAAATGCAGTAGTATGAGTTTTTACTGCAATATATATGTAGTTTCATTTGCTTTAAAAATACTATTATTAGTTTATTCATTATGCAAAAAAAACATTAAAAACCATGTCGCGCTTTTTACGTAATGAAACTGACCTGTTGCAGTTTTTTGCATTCTTATGAAGGTCGTTATAGGTGTATCTTACGGATTTTAGATCGCCTATCTATTATTTTTCTGTTTGGATATGTTTATGTATCTTTCATGAACATGTCTAAAGAAAATATAATTTTAAATCGCGTACATAAATTATTAATGAAGAACTTTAGAAGCAATTTGATGTTGATAAAAAACCGCAAATTATGTCTAAGAATTTTTTAGACAATACCAGGTAAAATTTTAATGCAAATATTGAACATGAGTGATTTAAAAACATAAACGAACTTCGTACGCTTTGGGTTTCTGATCGAGTTCTTCGTGCGTGTAGTGTTATTGTGTCGTCTATACAATCCAGTGATCAAAGCGAACGAACTTCGAATATATATATTGCTGGTATTACAACTGCTAACTTCATGAGTACATCATATTATGCCAGCAGCATCAACTGCGACAACAGCATCCACTACTACTACTACTACTACTACGGGAGTTTCACCATCGCCTCTGCTAAACGATCCAACAGTTCAAAAGGCACTTGACAGTCTCTTGCAAGGCAATTTACTCAAAAGCATCGGCGATCGGCAACCGACCACAACTACAACACCTCTGTTCGCTGCTTTTTCGAATATCGGCCGATTTTAATTCATTTCAATTTTATTTATCATATAATGAATAATTGGGGGATTTGGATCTCCTTTATTTTTCTCATATTTATACAATCTCTGACTCTGAAGTAGTTACTCTTGATTTAATGAAATGACAATTTTATGATAACATTTGATAAGAAATCAGAATTCTGGTAGGATTGCATTCAATTGCAATAATTGGAATATTTTTCTAATAAAGTGTTAGTATGCTTTTATTTGTATCAAAAAGATATATTTTAAATGTAGAATGATTCACAAATTCTATAAACGTTATTTACATGATTTATAAAAGTAGGTATACTAATACTTGTTTATACAGATATTTGTTCAATTTTTTCATTCTTAGGAAAAAATATTTTAGTTCAATATATTTCATATTATGTAAATGATAAAGAAAACAAAATATTAGAGAAGTGTAATGTTTTTTATTATTAGTTCTATATTTCTTCCATACTTATTCTTTTTTATTATTATAAAACTAGACAAGAATTAAATATACCTTAAATATTAACAAATTTAATGTATAATCATACATTCAACTTTATTAATTATATAATTTCTTCTGATAAAAAATACTTGAATATGTAACATACTGATTTAGTAATTGACAATTTGATTAAATAATTCATTATATTTGGCTTAACATTTGAAGTTCATTATCATAATTTTAATTAATTGCCATGTTTATCTTTATTGCTTTTATAGTTTTTATTAATATCATAAGATTACAATGTGACATTTAATTAGTTTATATTATAAAATAAGATCAACAAAAATTCATTTTGGTAAATTTACAAGCCTCATATGCTTTAATGTAAAAATATATTGTATATGTGAGTATAAAGCATTTGATTTTTACAGTAAATGATGTAAAATACATAATATATCAATTTTTCTATTGCATTATTGAAAATATGGTATAGATTTTTAAATTTTTTCATTAATGAATTTCATTATCTATGTTACATGTTTTTAATTAGTTTGGATATTTACACAAATGTATCGTGTATAAGAAGCTATGCACATTTTTTTAGGAATTAGATAAACATCATGTATAACTTCAATAAAATGTTTTTAGGAATATTTTATGTCTTTCATTGATAATTTAATTAATATTGATGTTTATGGATCTAAAAACAAGAAAATAATAATATTTATAAAATTGAATCTGAATTTCAAGTATTTAATATTAATTTTTTACATACCCTTGCAGTCAAGCAATTAATATATAATTTTCATAAAACAATTTAAGCTATAGAAGCAGTCTTATTAGATTAATAAGCAAGAAGTAAGTATTCAAAGTGAAAATATTTAAATAAAAGTGGTTTGCAGAATATAAAGCATAATGTTAAATACTCACAGGTAAGCAAAGTTATAAATATAAATTAATATAAGCAAATTCATAATAAATTTACTTAAATTTACCTAAATAATAACTCTTCAGGTATTGTTCCGCATGAACGATTTCTTCACATGGCTGGGATACTTCATTATATAATATACCAAGAACCGACTTTACTGCATCAATATCGTACATATTTTTCGCCAATCTTTGTTTATAAGGTTTCAATTTTCCTACAAGCTCTTTATTTTTACTAATAGAACCAATGTGATTTTGCAAAATTTTTTCATATATAGGCCAATCAAATTCACATGCGATACAATCGCATTCGAAAAAATAGTCTTGCATTATTTTTTCTCTTCTTTCAGATTTTGTCATATATGCATATGCAGCACCATAACTTGTGAATATTTGATCTCCAGGATATAATGGTTTTAAAGCGCGGGTAATCATTGTGAGCCCTTCGAAATGACGAAATGTATTTGGTGCACAAGAATGATTATATAAACTATTCGTTACATATAATCCTGAACCTACTTTAATCCCTGGCTCTTGTTGCACCTAAAAAAATAAATTAATTATAATATAAAACTGTTCTAATATAATTTTTATCCTTTATTTTGTTAAATTGCTTGTTAAATTATTTTTTAAATATATTTTATAATCTATATTATATATTATGTATTAAATAAATTACTGAAAAACAATTGGAAGACATTATAACACATGCACGAAACATGATGCTGCTACAAAATATAATGTCTGAATAATTGTTAATGTCTTTTAATTGGTTCACTTCATATTTATTGCAGAAAAAATTAGTCTGTGTGGCTAAAAGGATAGCCGCGAGAGCTGAAATACAAGCAAAAGCACTGATTCCAATAAGTGGTCTCATTGTCATATTGGTAGCAAGACTCAAAGCAGATCGTGCACTGGTACTATCCAATATGTCTTCATCTGTAAATCCTGCAGTTCTATTATCTACAAAAGAAAGATATTTTATAAAATCTAAAAATGAACCGTATGTTATTATGATATTATTATATTTTTTTTCTTGTAATTTTTTTATTCTTTTTTATAATTCAAATTTTATCTTATATTCTTTTATTTTAGCAATAAAATATGAATTCTATTCTTTACCTGGATTAGATTCAGCTAATTTCATGTCAGCACGCAGTTCATTGATATTTTTACCTTTTGCTGTTACTATGATCAGAAATCTAATAATTTTGGTAAGCATTCGTATTTTATCCTTATCAACATGAAGTAAATTTCCAATTAATGCCATAATTGGACATTCTATATCATGAGCCATTTCCCAAGCTAATATTCTACATTTTTCTGAACAATATTGAGCCACAGGGCAATGTAAACAAGGAATTAAATTATAGCTTCTTGATAAACAATGATGACAATGAGTATAATATCTGTAATTTATGATATTTTATTTATATAGATATATTAATATTATCAGATTGTATACCTTTGTGTGTAAATAACATATGCATATGGATCTTCAATAGTAATTATATCTCCTGGTTTAAATTCTTTTGTAACTACTAAATGACGCCCATATTTTTCAGAAAAAGAAATGCTGATACCATCACTGATTGCTGGAGCTTCTTTACTAGGACCATAAATTAATTTTAAAGGACCTTCATCTGCTAAGTATCTTGGTTGTTTTTCTTCATTATTTTTAGTAATTTTGTTCAAACTATGCATTGTATCTTTCTTGTCATTAATGTTAAAATTTTTATTTATATCTGAAAGTTTTGTTTCACCATTTCTATATTTTACAGTAAAAGATCTTTCTGATTCATTATTTATATTTTCTGATAAACACATATTTGTAAATATTTCTGAATCAATATGATCATTATTTGTAAGTTTCAATTTTTTTTTAATTTCTTCAATTGCTTTAATTCCTCTTTCTTTTAATTTTTTTCTTTTTTCTTCTGGATATCCAAAATTTAAAGCAGCATCAATATCTATCAAACATTCTTTAAACAATTGTTTTCTATACAAAGCAGCAGATCGATTGGCATAAGCATAGGACATAAGTTCATTATTATTTGCATATGCCAAACTCATTGTATAATATTTTATAGCTTCGTTATCATCGCCCATCACGAAATGTTGATTTCCTAATATTTTTTAATTATGATAACTAATGAATTATTTATATTCAATTATAGTATTAGAAAAATATTTATTACCTTCTTCTCTAAATTGAATGGAATCTTCTTCATTTTTTACTTCAAAAATTAATTCTGGTAATTGAGACTTTATTACATTTTGTAAAATGTGACCAAGAAGGGCTTCACATTCTTTTTGTAAACCATATCCTGCATGTGAACAATTACTTTGTTTTAAATTTAATACTAATTCCTTTGCTATTTCCATATCGTTCTGGAAAAATTGTATTATATAAAAAAATTTATTTTAAAAATATTTTAAATGTTTTATTAAATATATTAAATATATAAATAAAATATAAATATAATAAGTATATTTTATAATTTTTTTTATATAAGAATGAATGAATGTATTGAATGTTTTAATTTAAAAAAACACTTGATTATTCATATACTTCTTCTATAGTAGATAAGAATGAACTGCAGTTAACTAAGTAACTGGCTAAAGTAAAACTGAAAGGTGAAACTAAAATTATCTCAAGTAAGTTGATAGAGGGAAGCAGAAACTGTATGACTATATAATCAGATTTTATATCATTTGTTGAATTAAATAAATCATAGACTAATTACAGACATATTTTTTATCTTTTATATTTCATATATAGATTATTTCAATCTTTCCATAATTTTTATCTTTTAAAAGAACAAAAATTTGAAAAAATTAAATTATTTAAGAAAACAAATATTTTATATGTTTATTGCATTTTAAATCTTTTATTTCATATTATTAATTATATTATTTTAATATATTATTTTATATTAATGTTAATATATTTATAAACACTATTTATAGAAATATTTATAAATAGCATAATCAAAACATTATATAATAATAGGAAAAACTATAAAAAAAGTCAAAGTTTAACTGTTTAATCAATATAAATATTAGATGTTTGAGCTAACTTTTCAATCATGTTACATGAGCATTTCATAATGAGAACAATTTGGCAACAATCCAAATTTAAAGTCAGTAGAATGTTGAAGTTAAAATACAATCTTTAATTAGATAAATATATGTATTTATATATGAATATAATATATGAATATTGATATTTGTATAAATAATGATTGAAAATATTATATATAATTTGTAAAATTAATTTATATATTTTTTTAATTTAAGATGTTATGAATATTATAAATAGTATAATTAATAATTAGTATATTATAATATTAAATTAATATTTTAAAAAGATAGAAATAATATGAAAAATTATAATTAATTTATTAGTTGTTTATTATACAATAACAATTAATTAACATATGGATATATATGATTTTTATATATATGATGAGCAAGAAGTATATAAACTTAGATATATTATATGCATTAGAAGAAATGAGGCAATAATAATATAAAAATTTTATTTCATATTATAAAAAGCATTATATGGATATTTAACTAAATTAATCCTCTTCTGCTTCTAAATTTATACGGCTACCAAACTTTGCATATAATTTTGTTTTTAAGTCAGTTATGACATTTTTTAAATCAATACATTTACTTTCCAAATTTGAGATTTCCTTTTTTTTCTTCTCTTTAATCTCATCTAAGTAATTCTAGAAAAATAAACAAAAATAAAGAAAAATGTATAATATTATATTACTTTATATTATTTCAAAATATATATGATAATAATTATTAAATTTTATACCTGTGTCCTTTCTAAATCTTCATAAATAAAAACTTCACCAATGTGATACGGAATTTTTGCATCTTCATCTAAAAGAGATATTTCATCACATGCATCTTCTAAATTTTTTAATTCATTCTGTAAAATATGTATCAATATATGTATATAAAATTATACATATCCAAATAAGGTTATAAGTGGCAAAAATTAACATTAAATTCATTAATACTTGTTTAATTTTTGATTCTTCTTTTAAATCATCCATTTTAGCATTTTGCCTTGCAAATTTATTAATTTTTTGTTGATCTTCATATGTAATATAAACATCGGAATCCTATAATGCAAAATAGGTTAGATTTAAATGTTATATATTACATAAATAAAAAAGTTTGTATCTAAACTTACCGGTTGAAATCCAGTTTGAACATTTTTTCGGGCTGACATATTCGTATTTTATTTTTAATTATATATATTTAATATACCGATATAATATTTATTTAATATACCGATATAATATTTATTTAATATATCGATATAATATTTATTTAAGTAACAATTTTAAAACAATGATATCAAATACTTACAACATTACTTCATGAAGCTAATATCTTTAGACACGAAATAGAAAGGAATTTAATTGTTGAAAATGCGTCAATAAGTGTGTTCTTTTTTAAACCGCTTGCATCTTATACTCATATATTAAATTATTTTTATTTGAATCTGATTAATTGTAAAAAATATATATATATAATTTAATTATAAGTTTTTCTAATTTAATTATTTATATTGTTTTTATATCAAATTTTTATTCCAATATTTATAATAAATATAATTAATATATAAGAATTTTTAATGCATAAAAAAATAAATGCAGTAATTTTTTAAATCATTATTTAATTTAATATATTATAAATATTAATATAAAAAAGAAAAAACCAAAGGTCCCACCGAGATTTGAACTCGGATCGCTGGATTCAGAGTCCAGAGTGCTAACCATTACACCATGGGACCTTGTGAAAATAATTTTAATATAAAATATTTGAACATCAATTTAAAGCATAATTTTTAAACTAAAATGTTATAAATATCTTTTTTATTTTTAATAATTTTTATTCAATATAGATTTTATCATAAAAAGTGAAAAACTTAAGAATAAAAATATTCATTAATATATTAATTGCATATTATATTATAAATATTTATATATTATGATTTTCTAATTTACATAAAACATAAATAATATATAATTATTTAAAACATGAATATATATAATTATAAAACATTAATCAAATTTTGAAAATTATACACGACATCATTAATAACATATAATTTATTATTTTATTTTTATTTGTTAAAATAATAAATTTATAAAACAATATTAATTTAATTTACATCAATTATTTGGATCTTCATTATCATAATTTATTTCTCTTATTAAATTTTTATCTTCTGTAATACATATTTCTTCAAATTTTATCTTGCTTTTTTCTTTTTCTATTTTATGGGTTCTTTTATATTACATATTTCTAACAAATTATATTTTTTGAATTTATAATAATTGGGAGCAACGGACATAAGACAAACACCACGTACCATTTCTACTATTACAGCAAGTTCTGGATTTTTTAGATCTGCCTTATTTCCAGGATTCTTTTTGTTTATTATTTCTGCTAAGTCTTCAATGATTTCATCTCTATATATATTATTATTACTATGACGACTGTAATAAAATTAAATTACTGTACATTTATAGTTAAAGACATAATAAAGTTATAAATAATTTATATATCAAAAAACATACTTAAATACAATACTAAATGTTTTTGGTTCCTGTGCAAAATATTTTTCAAGCATTGCATCTGCTTTTGATTTGATATCATTCATATTTGCTTTACAAATAACTTCAATTGGAAGTAATCTTAATAAATATCTTGTACGTTGCTGTTTTGTATTATATAATTCAGTGATAATTTTAGTAACTAATTCTAATGGATTTGTCAAAGAACTCCTTATAAAAATTATATTTTTAACACCAGTGTCAATTACCTGATTGAAAAATTATAAGCATTTTAAATTTTAAAGAGAAATAAAAATATATGTAAAAAATTTACCTGAAATCTTCTGGCATTTATTGGTTTTGAATATTCTGCTTTTAATTCGTTAATTTCTTTATTTAAAACAACTGAAATGTCATCTTCATTATCGTTATATTTTGTTTCATCTTTTTTTATATCAGAAACTTTAATATTCTTATTGTCAGAATCCTTAAATTAAAAAGAATTTGATAAATTTGTATTTTTATATGTATTTATATTATTGTTAAATTCCATTTTACCTTTTTAGAATCTAATCCATAAATCTCATCAGCAAATTCATTAAGTATTTTATAAGCATCACGTACACATTCCTTTTCAGAGAAATTACATGTGCATAAAAAACCTTTCATACCTGGTTCCAAATTAAATTGTTTGCGTTTTTTTTTATTATTTCCATGATTATGAAAGTAATTTTTTTTTCGTTTTTGAACATTCATTTTTATTAAAAATTTCTGTATCATAAATTTTATTTTATTTATAATAATATATATTTATCTTTTATTATAAATAATAAAAAGAACTATATCGATACAATTTACCAATATAATTGCTTAAATTTTTTGATATAAATATTATTTACACATTTTAGCATTAAATTTTATATTTCAAATATACTCACACACTCTTTGTTAAAATATTTTCATATATTTATTTAAAATATAGCATTAATTATACTTTTTAAAAATTGAGTTTATTTTTTGTTTAAAATTAAATTATAACCACATGAAATTGAAGTTATAAATAATATAAATACATTTAATATATTTTTATATCAGCTTAATATCTCAAACCAAACTCTTGTTGCATCATTTATTTTTATTCGTTGATAAAATGGTTATAATAATTATCTATAAATGATAAATGATGAAATAAAAAATAATATTATTAATTTAGTATAGAGTAATGCAACAAACAATGCATAACAATATCACAGATTAGATATAAAAATAGATTAATCATGCATTGTATTTTTAAGATTCTAGAATCCCATTTTCATTTTTATCATTCGCATCGTTACCAACAGGACGCAGAATTTGATTTTAAATTCTAGCGTTTATTTTAATAGGAAATATTAAAACAAATAAACATACATTTTAAAATAATCTATAAAATCTATAAAACAATTAAATCATAAGTCTAAGATTATTTGATGGGATAATAATGAAAAAAGAGACTTAGGTTAATAAAATTCCTCGAATTTTTTAACATTATTATTTAAATTAATATTAATTAATCAATATTAATTAGCATATAATAAGTACATATTTAAAAAAAAATTAATTTTTAATGTTTATGTTTATTAGATTTAATATTCTTTTAATTTGTGTTTTCTAATCTGTCTGTATTTCAATATTACCAAAGAGCTAATGTTAAAATATTTAATTATGAAGATACTTTTATATATTATATTTTATGAGATCATCGTTTTAAAAGTATATTGTAATTAAAATTGAGAATATCTGTATTTTTTACGTCAAAGATTGTATATAATGGGAAAAACATTGTAGTTTTGAAAGAGATATGATATATTTAATTAACTATAAAAATATCCTATGTTTTTATGATTATGCAAAAATAAGTTTGATAAATAAAATGAATAATTATTGTTAATAAAGAGAAAAAAACAAAAATATAATAAAAATCAATGCCATCTCAACAGAATATTATAACTAACATAAAAGAAAACAGAAGAAAGATAAAGATAAAATAAGAATTGATCGTTAGCGCTATCTTTTAGATATTAAAAACATTTTCTCAAAAATAGATAAGGGTATATTTATGAAGCAGCTCCTTTTTTAAGTATCAAAATACATCTTTTAAAAAATATTTGAAAAGTAGCATTAATTTCTAATTCTTACTCTGCCTTATCCTGTCTTTCAAGAGATATCTTTGATATTTAAAAGATAGTGTAAACGGTGAATTCTTATCTTTTATTATATTTTCTTTATTTATGTTAATTTCTATAATACTCTACAGATGGCGCTGATTCCTCAATTTTTATCCTATTTCTATCCTTCTCTCATTATTTGCTCTCCTATACTTTTTCTGCGAAAATGTGTTCCAAAAAATTGATTAACTTTATTATCTTTTTTATCTAACTTATTAAAATTGAAATCAGAGTCTAATTCAATCTAATTTTCATATGTCGTAAATATATATATATTATATTCTTTTTTTCTATATTTATAAGTGGTGTTTATATATATTTTATGATATACATATAATTAATATTATGATTTTACCATATTGTAAAAATAACAATTGCTATTAGATGATAAATATCTGTAAAATTAATAATTAATAATTAATAAAAAAATTATAAAAAATTATTCAATACTATAAAAAAATAGTAAATGCAAGAGATAAATATAATGAAAAATAAATTCGCAAGTGATAAATATGTTGCAAGTAAATATGATAATAGAATTTGAAAAATTTTATATTTTAAAATTCTAGGAATTTCGTGTTTTAATTTGAATATAATTATATTCTTGTAATAAAAAAATTTGATTGAAATTAAATTTAATTGAAAAATTAGTCAAACATTTTCTGTTTTAAAATTCTAAGAAAATTTGCGCATGTTATTTTCTATCGTTTTATATTGTAATACAAAAAAATTGGCCAAAAATTTTTAATTTTAAAATTTTAAAATAAAAAGAAAAAATTTTGCATTTCGAATTATATTTTTCTAATATAAAATAGAAATTTCAAGGAACAAAATATTTATTTAAATTTACAATCTTGTAAACAAAAGAATATTACAAGACAAGAGAATTTAAAATATAATTTAAAGAAGAGATGGAATATAAAATTTTTTTCATATTTCTTTGAAATTTAGAATTTAATGAAATCGGCTAAAATTTTTCAACCGAATTTTAAAATTTTATATTAACAGAGTATAATCTAACAGATAATATATATGAAAATTTTATAAATTTAATATGCTCATTTTTTTTATATTTATCAACATTTATACTTTCTAATATATTTATTTTTACCATATTTTCAGAAATTTTTTTATCATTTACCAAGTTTTAAAAAATTGAGAAATACATTTATCTTATTTATTTCTTTGTTTTATATTTTTAGTAAATTAAATATAGAATAAAATATAATATAAATATAGAATAAAATATAGAATAAAATAAATTAAATATTTTAGGAACTACTTATTAAGAAAAAATTTTTTTTTAAGATATTATAGAATTTAATTTGATAAAAAATTATTTTTTTAAATTTTTTAAGTTATTTTTTAAATTTATAGAACGCAATATCCAATATGTAAAATATGTATATATATATATATATATATATATACATAAGATGATAATATATTTGCGAAATACTTTTGGTTGATTCTAAAAGTTAAAATAAATACAAAAAGCGA